CCTTTTTGGGTTCCTGTGTGTGATCTTTCTACCTGCTCATCTGTTCATTTCTTTGATAAACATTAATTAAGCACCCACTGTGTTCTTACCCCTTGTCCTGAAGCTTGCTCTTCTCACTTCTCATTATTGACCAAAAAAGCCTCTTTAAAGTCTCTTCCCTCCCCTCTTGAAATTCTATGCTGTGTGTATGGAAATCACACAACCAATGTATAAAATGTGCAGAAAATAAGAGTTAATAAGCTTTTGATTGAGGGCCTGAGTTGTTAAAGGTAGAAGGATGGAGGCTTGATGGGAGGGGAAGCATTTATGGATTTCAGCAAAGGGGCCTACTATAACGTGGTTACTAAGAGGCTTTCTTTTTTTCTTTGCCTTTTCATCTTGGTGTTTGAGTGTGTGTTGGAGATATGAGGAGATGGGATTACTGACTAGCAAAGATCTACACAACTCTAGCTTGGTCCTCAGTGATGGGAAGGACTCTAAATACTTCCAGGTTAGTCCCCAAAAAAGTTGCTAGTTAAATACAGGAAGAATGATACAGCAAATGAGAAAACTCATCTCTATTTCCTATTTAAGTACACTAATAACATCCTGGTGCCTTGAACCGGGTTCTCCTCTGAATGTGGAGTACCTTAAGTACATCTGAACTCTTGGTTCAAACAGCACAATAGGGTGTAAGTCTGAAAAGGTTCAGAAAGCTCTTTAATTTTTTTCCCCCTCCCAAATGATTTTCTGTAAAAATCTTTAAATCTATGAAGTTTCCTATCCCACAATTATTACCACATTTTATTTTTCTTCCCTTTCCCCTTTACTCTTTCTGTTTTCTTCCTATTATAGGGGTGGGGGGAAAGAGTAAAATGCCCAGGCTGTTTAATTTAGGGCTTAGGCAGGAGAGAAAAGTAATCAAAATTTCAAATACATAAAATTAACCTGAGCTTTCAAAACTTTAAGTGTCACTATGGAGACCAGAGCATAAACTGTCTCATGAAGATTCACACGAATTTTTTTGCTTTAAATTATCACGCATTACCAGATGTCAATTTTGCCAAGGAAGAGATGAGTAAAAATAAATAAATAAAAATATAAGAACTAGCCTCACACCAGAGAATTATTAAGGGCAAGTCTAGTTTGTTCTGGTTCTTAGTATTCCATTATTCCAATGAGTGGGAAGATATCCCAAGAGAATACTTCCCTCCAACTCAGAATTTCTGATGGAACCATCTGCTGACATAGCTCCATAAATGCTACAGGAATTAATAGGGAAAGATAATTTCTAGAAACGGCATCTCTCACTCAGAAGCATCAAGGTGTGATGTAAGTGATATGGCTCTCTATCCACCACTCCAGCTGCAAGGAAGAGATGGCTCCTTGGGCAATGTCTCATCCTAGTAATGGACCAGAGATACCTCTAACAACTATTCTGGGTATATCACTTTATCGTGTCTATTACACATAACTGTTTTTAATATGTGTAGTGAAGTCAGACAGACTTGTATTATACGCCAGATAAAGAGAAACACAGGAATCATCCAAATGTTTAAACTATATAAGCAGAGGTAAGTCAGAATTTCTCCCAGTTAAACTTTATTTTGCAAACCTATAGATATAGTCACTTAATTCATCAAATACTCAGTTGAGAGGCCACCCTAGATGGTAGATGTTCATCGATTAAATAAAAAATCACTAATAAAAGATTAAAATTCAATAAAAGTTTTAATATATAATAAAATAAGGCAATAGAAAGCAAACAATTTTGACCAGAATGCATAAAAACAAAGTGGTCAATGACATTATTCATTTGGAAGTTTATACAACCTGAACTCTATGCAGCTTTTTTAGGACAGATCTTTGTGACTGGTTGGATATGGAAGGAAAATAAGGATGCCAGCAGCACAGCCAGCTCAGAGAAATGCAGGTGTTTCTCACATTTTACAGTCAATTCTCATTTTTCCCAGTAGTTATATTCTATAAAGTTGTCACAATTAGCATATACTGAACCATTGCTCCTAGGGGAAATACAGGATTAGGTTCCTATGAGGCTTGGGTCACAACATTTTCATCAACCAATCAATACATAACCTAGTTTTATGTGTGTTTCTGTCTGAAGACACATTATTTAATATATATTGTTGATTCACTGACATTGAACTCACAGCCAACAGTACTATAACTCATGCCTGAAGGAAGCTTATGTAACATATTTTTTTCCATAAGGCACATCATAGTCTTCTCGCACTCAGGAACAATAGACAGCACTTCAGCACTATGCTTGGGGGACATTTTAACAATGAAATCACCAACAAAAAGTGCAAAAAAAGAGGCACTAAATAGACTGTGAAAAGAACACTTGTTTACGGTATGAGAGTTGAAAGAAGAAGGCAGAGTGTCACTTTGCTTGATCTCAACTGGGAACAAACTTGAGATGACTCAAAATTTTTGCCACTGCACATGTCCGCAGATGGCCGTGCAAGTGCTGCAAGTATTGACTGGAAGTTACAAACAAATTTTAGCAAGTAGGTGAATTTGCAAATACAGAATCCACAAATGGGGAGGACCAACTGTATTTGCCAACTATAGAGAACGACTTGTGCTGCTTCTTACTATTCCATTGCACTTGTCTATTCTCTTTTGTCCACCTATAAAGCTCCTAGACTTCCTTTAAAACCCTTCTCAGGAAAACACACACACACACTAACTTCCTCCTCCTGTTACTTTTGCCTCTTATACTCATCTCTATTTTGCACAAATCAGATTATATTAAATTTATTGACATTCTCCTTTACCGGCCTATGAAATTCCTTAAGGTCAACAGCCACGTCCTAATACACGTATATAACCTTTACTGTGCTTACTATGTATTAAAAGGTACTTCACAGACAAGATCTTGTTTAATCTTACAATAATCTATCATCCCCATTTGACAGTTGCAGAAACAGAGGCCTAGAGCAGTTATGTCTGTCACTTGCCATATCTCAAGCTGCAGAGTTGGTATTCAAACCTAGAGCTCAAGCTTTTAACCATTATGTTATCCTAAATAAATAGTATTAGCCACCATATATAATTGACTGCTTACTATGTGCCAGGCATGGTGTTAAATACTTTAAACAAATTATCTCATTGAATCCACTAGATCCAGTTCTGTGTCTCCAACACATAGCAAAGTACATGACATATAAATACTTGTTGGATTGAATTTATTTCTTCTAACTCCCAAACTTTCCTTCTAAAACCAACAGCAAAACTCTACATTTACAGCAGTGGCCAGAATGACTTTCAGTGTTATACCACCCTTCTCCCCCACCAAGTTCCTCATCTCTTTCTCATTTGTATTCTTCTGTGGTTTTGCTATTGGTGTCTATGATGTTCACAAGGCAACTTTTCAAAGTATGGTAGTGCAGAAGACAGCAAAAGCACTGTCCACTTGAAAAATATCTCTCTTTAACAATAATTTCTAATGTGGTTTATATTATGACCTAAATCCTTATGGAGTAACAGAATCATGGAAGAGCTAAGCATTTTACTTGAGAACTGTGAGGTAAGCCCTATATGAAGCTAAAAGATGATTTTCTGTTTCCCAATGTAGCTTTGGATTCCAGTTCTATAGAATCTCCCAAACTGAGTTCAAAATAGGCAGGGAACCAGTTTTAGGGATGAGAAGCTAAAGTAGGGGAGTAAGCTTGTGGGAAAGTGAGGAGTAGGCTATAGAAAGTTTGCAAGACAGAAAGTGCAGGGCTCACATACATTACATGAATAAATGGGATCAAGGAAGGCTCAGCCTTAGGGCTAGAGTCAAAATCATTCATCTTCTTTCAAAAGTGAAAGTTTAATGGAGACAAGATTTGAGACTTCTTTTCATCTCTCTCTTTCTGCTCTCTTCCACAGAATATTTCAAATACTCCACAAGTAATTATTGTTAACAGTATAGCCAGGAAAATTGACCCAAAGGACAGAATCCTAACTCCCTTAAAAATCCCCATTTTTCTCCCAGTTATATGTCATGGTTTTGCTATTGGTCACTGCAATATTTAATAAACAAGAGAATCTCTAAGTGAATTCCAAGCCCTAGGTCAAAGGCAGAGGAAGTAAACATCTCCTGGGGCCGGGCAAGAACCTATATGAGTGAAGTTACCAGAGAGAGAACTCTCATCTTGAGCAGCCAGTGCTCAGCTCCAGTACATTCATAATTGTCAGAAGGAATAAAATCCTCTGTTGCTAGGCCTTTCGACTTTTCAAGAGAAGCCATAATCCTGGATTTTTATGTGAAATCTCCTGGTTTTAAATGTGGGCAATTAATTTAAAAGAAAAAATTTAAACACTGCATGCCAAACTATGTCTGTTGGCATTACCCAGAGGGAGACACCAGTTTGCAATCTCTGACTAGAAGAGTCCTAGTAGCCTAGGGGATATTTAGGGACCTCTTTCAAATTGTTCAGTGTGCCTCACCGCCCCCAAGAAACGGCAGTCCTGGAGGCCATCTTCTGAACAAACATCTCCCTCCTGCTGTGCCGCTGGCCTCCTCATGGACCTTGCCTTTTATGAGTTAACACTTGTCTCACAAAGTGCTTTCCAGGCCTCCGTAAACACGCTCCAGTCCACCCTGTGCATACGTGATCTATGACCTCTGGCTGCAGCAGGTCTTGGTGTGTGCTGAGAAGCCACTCTTGGAGGGCTCTCCTATCTCCTCCTCACTGCCCCAACTCTCACTCCCACCCTCTCCATCTCTCCTTTGAAGATCTGTTTCCTTTCTTTTCTTTCTCTTCTCTCTTAGTTCCCTCTCTTGTCTCATCTCTTAGTTCCCTCTCTTGTCTCATCTTTTTCTTTCTCACCTCTTCGTTCTTTTTCCTTCTCTCTCTGCTCTGCTCTTCCTCTTTTCTCGTTTTCTTCTTCTGTTTATTCTCTCCTCTCTTCCCTTGTCCTCAGTTACTCTCCTTTCCTCCCCCTACCTCCCCCCAGCCCGTTCCTTCCCTCTCCCAGCACCCGGGAACTGCGGAGAGCTCGCTCACCAGGAATACACCAACACCGGTTTCGAGTATTTCTTGTGGTGGGAGCGGAGGGTCAGGGAGCCCTTGCGCTCCAGCAAGTCCGTGGGTCCGAGCTCAAACCAGTGTTGCCCACTGCTGCACCAGTCCTGGCAGGAGCTGTCAGAGCTCTCCATGGCCGCCCTCGAGGTACAGACCTCAGAGGCGTTCCCTCTGCACCTGTCCTGCTCCCCGCGCCGCCGCCATCTACGAAGATTCGGCGTCTCTCATCTCCTAAGCAACCTGGGGCGGGGTCAATGGAGGGGCGGATCCCTTAAACCTAACAGCGGTGGTTTCCTACACAGCTTAACTACTGATAAAAACAAAACAAACAATGCCATGAGCCAGCCCGCCCGCCGGCTTTTCTGGCAGCTCTGTATGGGAAACAATAAAGTGCACTTGTTCTCAGAAAAAAAAAAAAAAAAAAAACAAACAAACAAAAAAAAAAACTACACTTTACACTTCCCAGAATGCAATGAGGGGAGTGACCGGGCTGAGCGGAGGGAGAGAGAGAGGGAGGGGGGAGGGGGGGAGAGGGAGGGAGAGAGGGAGAGAACTGCATCCTGGGATTTGTAGTTTCGCCCGCCATCAGCCTACTCCCCAGAGCGGCTGGGCGGAGGAAACCGGAAGCGGCGGATCAGTTAAGGGCTACGGGCGTCTGAGCCCGGAGCGGGGTTTGTTGCCGCTATCCTTGCGGAAGTTCTTTTTACCATCTGTCATGCGTTGCCGCCACACCTTCTGCTTACAAGTTATGTAAGTTTGACTACAGGAGGGCAAGAGTACACTCCTCAAACCCTAACATATGTCATTTCTATACAGCTTTTCTGAGGAAGAGGAGGAGCGGAATCATTCAGCAAATCAGCTAAAAAGTCTGAGGATAAAAAGGCCTGGCTGGTTCCAGTTTCAGCTGCTGTCTCAACTTTTCTAAGCACGAGTTTCTTCCTCTGAAAAACGAAGGAGGGGGTGGGACCCTGGAGGGGGCAAGGGGGACACAAGAATCTGAGATCCCTTCAGGCTATAACGCTGAAAGACCCAACCTCTAGGTACAGTTTAGGCTTGCCAGGTTCTCCTCATTTTAACATTTGTTATTTTGTGACAACACAAATTCATCACATTATTGTGAGTTACACGTGAAAAGGAGATTTCAAAAAGATTATCTATGGCATCACCTTCAAGAAAGCATTGGATAGCTGTCTTGTAGAAGGAAGGTGCTTATATCATCTTTGACTTTCCCAGAGAAGAATATCGAACGCATCGGAATTCTCCTTCCCAACCTCAGTTGAGTACCTTAAGGCCATTAATGGACTTAATCACGGCCATCCCTCTGACCTGGCATAGTGCTTAGTACATGGCATCATTTCAGAGTATTGAATGAACGAATGAATGAACATTATGTTTGATTACCTTAGATTGACCTGGGCTTCCGTAAATTCCATAAGTGTTTTACTTCAAGACAACATGTACACAAAAATTCAAACTCAAAAACAAATTAAGAGATATTTCACATTACAAATAGATTCTTTCCTTTGCAAAAGATTTATTATAGCACTCCTATAAATAGTGAGGTGCTCTTCTGGATCCGCTTTCACAAATTTGAATACACACAACTACTAAGTGCTTTTCTGTGGCCTGTGGTGCCCAGTGTGCTCTGCTCGCCTGTAGTATGATAAGGCCTCTATTTTACTGACAGCCACTGTTAAGCCATGTTATTTAAAACCACATAAATAGTCTACTGTCACCAGCTAAGTGCTAGTAGAGTGCTGACCACTATTTTAGCCTTTTCTCTCTTGAAGGAATGAAAAGAAAAGTAGAAGTTAACTTTAAAAGGATAAATAAGATCCATGTTAAGTTCAGTTCTGTCCAATCAAAGCATAGCATATTGCTGTTGCTCCAAATTTATTACCATCATTACTATCACTGTTTGTTTGTGTGTTTATTTGATTTATGCTTAAAGTGGTGGCAACCTAATAAATGTGCAACCGACCCATCAGGTCTGTGCAACCGATTTGACTTAGAGATGGAAGCTGCCCAGAGCCAAGCCCTTTCTGCGGTGCGCAGGTGCTGCGGAGATTTAAAAGCTTTTCAGCACACCAAGGAGCAGCTAAGAAAACAAGCAAAACAAACATAGCTTATTATTTTAGAGTTCCTTAAGCCAAGCTGACAGCCTATTTGAGTCTATGAATATGCTTTCTTGTTATACTCTTTCCCCTTTATATCAACTTTATGAGCTTTATTGTCTTCTGTGTCTACTAAATACCTCTCAACATCCTCATGTTGGGATGTAGGAAATTAACTCTCCGATATCCTCCAATTCAGATGCTTTCTATTCTCATTGTATACACCAGTACATCCTGTAGAATTTTTGGTTTGTTGATTCCTTATCGATAAAATAGGAATAGAACAAGATTTATCGCAGAGGAGTTTTGTGAGAATTACGTAAGATAATAAATACATTGAAAGCAGGTGGAACAGTGCCTAATAGATGCTCAGCCCTCAATTAAATTTCAACTACTACTGCTATTATTATATCCTAACTTTGTCCTTATCATTTGGGAAAAGTGCCCTAAAATGTGATTGTTGTTTGTGTGAAATTTCCTAAGTATACTCATTTTTTTTCAAGCTCTGCCTGTTTACAGGCAAATGTCTTTTTAATGAATATCTTTTTATAGTATTTTAATATGAAATTTAGTAGTCTGAATCAGAAAAATGTTGGTAAGATATTTGGATATGTTACCAGTGATAATGATGGCTTTGTATTCATATAGAATCTTTTCTCTTCAAAACCATTACTAAGCTTTATACTTTATAAATGTGAAATCACTGATCCTCAACACATTTGACCTATTCCTGTTTTCCTTAAACTTCATAAAACCAATGAAGTGTAGGACTTAAAGCAATGCCTTCTATTTATATTAATCTCTTTTCACCATAATAGCCTTGGAGTGAGAAAATTACAGCTCAGGTAGCTCAAACAGGATTTTTCTGTAGGATAAGTGCAGGCAGACCAACTCAGGAAGGGGGAATCTTGCCATCTGAGCCTAGTCTAATGTATTTCTTTATTAGCATTATCAGATTCTTAAAGAGGTTGCCAAGAAGACCTGAGCAGGACCGCCAACTTAAACAGACGTAAACAAGCCAGATGTAAATGGCCACAGAGGCAAATCTCTTTAACACCTCCTTTCCGTTCCTGTCTTAACAGTCATCTGCTCAATTCCCAGAAAAGCCCCTGCTCAGAACCTTCCAGAGTCACCATCAGCATATTCTCCCCCCAGCATTAAAATTTCCTCTCTCTACCAAATGTCATTTAATGAAGCTGAGAGACAAAATTTAAAATTACCTAAGAAAATTAATTTGTCTTATTTCTATGTTGAATCTAGTTTAAATATATTAAAAACTTGTATTTAAAGTGTATAACACCCAGAAGTTAAAAACTAAGTATTTATGTCCTAATCAAGGATTGCCTAGTATTCTTTTAGCTCTCCAGGAATAGAAGCCTCTCGTCACTCACCATATATACATCTAGGGGTTCACATTTGAATATTTTATATAAAAAAGTTGGAATCCACCTGCTATGTCAAAATGAATGAGAAGTGTCTGGTTATCCCTTCCTCTTCCATGTCCTACTCCTTCTCTTCTTTTCTTCTTTCTTCTCCTTTGTCTCTCTCCTCCTTCCCTCTCTCCCTCTGTTTCCTCCTGTTCCTCCTTTGAGAAGCAGTATGGATTTTAGAGTCAAATCTATTGCTGAGCACCCAAGAGAATCTGGTACAATTCAAAGTTACATGAAAAATATGAAAGAAAAATAATAAGACCTAGAAACCAGGGCCAAAATTTATATGAATAAGCTCATGCTTAATGACCCAGGAACTCTCAAAGGACTCAACTCTGACAAAACTTTCAATCATCTTTCCTTTCCTTTAACTATTCATGACTACCAATGGTCTTTTTCAGAATGATTTTAACCTTGAGTATGATTCCTCTGTGCTTCTAATTTGGATTGTAAACCTATTAGGCATTGACTTGCTCCCAAACCATTATTATTAACCAGTATTAAGTGTTGTCATGCAACAGGCATTATTTCTGAACTCCTGCTATCATCATGGGGGATCAATTTATTAAATATTCAATGTATAGTATTCTATAATTCAGCATTTCCCTTATTTTGATATCTAATACAACCAGTAAGTGAAATTCTTTGGCATAACTGTCCATAACTATTACAATAAAATTTTAACATCCTGGATTAGTAATGACATGCTCTAACATAAATGTAGATTAGGGATTTCTTTAATATCCTACAAATTGGATATCCTTAATTATTCAAAGACTGAATATCCATTTTCACAAATGATCTAAGCCCTTGGTTTCTTCCTTTTCTCCTCTGTGCTGCTTTGTCTTTTTGGCACCTTCATTGTTTATTAGCAGCAAGAGCAAAGACAATTTAGCTACCAGTTAACAGTTCTTATGAAAGCAATTAGTGCTTGAAATTAAGTTCAGTATTGCTGTGGCTTTCTTTGTTCCTGAGAACAAAGAAGAAGCTCAGATGAAAGAAGTTGGATTAGGGCTCCTTTCTGCTCCTGGCATTGATGGACATTTTCCCATATCCCCCACAAGACCCACCCCCAGCTGCATGGTGAGCAGGCTGGTAAGCAACTGAGTGAAAGGCTTCTCCCAGAGGGTCAGGTGTATGCAGATGGTTTCTGGTTGTTGAGTAAGGCAAGCACACAGCTGAGGATGCCCAGAGTCACCAGTCTGGGGTAGGGGTAGGAAGCTCAGGGAAGAAGCTGGAAAACTTCCTGAACCTTGAGGGACTGTCTGAGCTTTGCATGATTTTGAATTTCTGGTGTTCAGCTGGCATATGTCAGACTTGTGGTGTTGTTTCCTCTGTTAATTAAATCTATTTCTATAACATCATGTTTAGGTTGCTTTAAATTAGGGAGGCTTTGGCTATTCCAGGGGAAGGATAATTTTCTAAAGAGCCAAGAGGGGACTAAAAGCAAATATGACAATATTAAAAATAATAACAATAGAGGAAATAGAGACTTAGACTTAGAATAAGGATTTTCAAGACCAAGGGTTCATTTAGTTTCTTGTTGCCCATTCTATGACTAATTAGTATATTCCTTACAATTTGAAGCATGGTTCAAGTTGGGGAAAAGAGAGTTGAAATGTTTCTTTTCATAGGAAGCTGGAGGTACCATTCAGCAAATAGAGTTTGCCAGAAAAGGAGTGTTTCTGAGGTGCTGTGCTAAGGGGACTA